TCACCAGTCTCACCTGTCCCAGTTTCACCTGTCCCAGTCCCACCTGTTCCACCTGTCCTAGTCCCACCTGTCCCACTTGTCCCAGTCCCACCTGTCCCACCTGTCCCAGTCTCACCTGTCCCCTCTCACCTGTCCCATGTCACCTGTCCCAGATCCAGGGGCAGTCGGACGAGTCCCGTTACTGTTCTCTGCTGCGGCAGCTGCTGGAGGATCACAAGGACGTCGTGACCCTCCTGGCCGAGGGCTTCCGGGAGTGCCGGAGACACATCCAGGTACCCGCACACACCTGGGGGCACCTGGGCACACCTGGGGGCACCTGGGGGCACCTGGACGCACCTGGGGACACCTGGACACACCTGGGGACACCTGGGGGCACCTGGGCACATCTGGGGACACCTGGGCACACCTGGGGACATGTGGGCACACCTGGGGGCACCTGGGCGCACCTGGGGGCACCTGGGGATATCTGGGGACACCTGGGGGCACCTGGGCACACCTGGGGGCACCTGGGGCCATCTGGGGATACCTGGGGACAACTGGGGGCACCTGGACACACCTGGACACACCTGGGGGCACCTGGGGACACCTGGGCACACCTGGGGGCACCTGGGGACACCTGGGCACACCTGGGAGCACCTGGGGACAACTGGGGACAACTGGGCACACCTGGGGGCACCTGGGGGCACCTGGGCATGCCTGGAGTCAACTGTGCCCACCTGGGCATACCTGCGGATACCTGGGGACACCTGGGGTCACCTGGGCACACCTGGGCACACCTGGGCACACCTGGGTCACCTGGGCACACCTGGAGTCAACTGTGCCCAACTGGGGATACCCAGGGACACCTGGGGTCAACTGTACCCACCTGGGGGCACCTGGGCATGCTTAGAGCCAACTGTGCTTACCTGGGCACACCTGGGGTCACCTGGGCACACCTGGGGATACCTGGAGTCAACTGTGCCCACCTGGACACACCTGCGGATACCCGGGGACACCTGGGGGCACCTGACCACATCTGGGGATACATGGAGCCAACTGTGCCCACCTGTGCCCACCTGTGCCCACCTGTGCCCCCTTTTCCCCCAGGACGAGCGTCTCCTCCGTCCCTTCCTGGACAAGACCCTGACGTCGCGTCTGGGGATGCGTCTCTTGGCCACCCATCACCTGGCCCTGCACGAGGACAAGGTGGGACCTCTCCCCTCTCCCTGTGCCCTATAGGTGCCCACAGGTGCCCTCAGGTGCCCCTCAGGTGCCCCCCTGATCTCTGACCCCATTCCCAGGCGGATTTCGTGGGCATCATCTGCACCCGGATGAGCCCCAAGAAGCTCGTGGAGAAGTGGGTGGATTTCGCCAGGTGAGACCCTGTGGGGCTACGGGGACCCTGGGGTGGCACAGGTGACACTGGGGTGACCCTGAGGTGACCCAAATGACTCTGAGGTGACTCTGAGGTGACACTGAGGAGAGAGAAGTGACTCAGGTGACCCTGAGGTGTCACTGAGGAGACTCAGGTGACTCTGGGGTGACCCTGGTGACCCTGAGGTGACACTGAGGTGACACAGGTGATCCAGGTGAGTCTGAGGTGACTCTGAGGTGGCACTGGGGTGACCCAGGTGACACTGAGATGACCCTGAGGTGACCTTGAGGTGATCCTGGTGACCCTGAGGTGACGCTGAGGTGACGCTGAGGTGACGCCGAGGTGACGCTGAGGTGACACAGGTGACCTTAAGGTGACCCTGAGGTGACATTGAGGTGACACTGAGGAGACTCAGGTGACCCTGAAGAGAGAGATGTGACTCAGGTGACCCTGAGGTGACCCTGAGGTGACCCTGAGGTGATACTGAGGAGACCCAGGTGAGTCTGAGGTGACCCTGAGGTGACTCTGAGGAGACCCAGGTGACACAAAGGTGACCCTGAGATGATCCTGAGGAGACAGAGGTGACCCAGGTGATACAAAGGTGACCCTGAGGTGACCCTGATGTGACCCAGATGGTCCTGAGGTGACTCTGAGGTGACACTGAGGTGACCTTGAGGTGATACAAAGGTGACTCTGAGGTGACACTGAGGTGACATTGAAGAGACTCAGGTGACACTGAGGTGATGCTGAGGAAGGAAAAGTGACTCAGGTGACCCTGAGGTGACCCTGAGGTGACACTGAGGTGTCACTGAGGACACAGAGGAGACCCAGGTGACACAAAGGTGACCCTGAGATGACACTGAGGTGTCACTGGGGAGGCACTGGGGTCACCCTCAGCT